CAGGAATAAGCAGCTCAGCCAGAGGGATGGAGCAGTACGAACACACTAGGCTCCTTATGCAATGCGTGATGAAATTTTAATATTCAGCAGGCCGAGTAATCAACTGCTCAGAGTTTGCCATCATGGAAGAGTTCCCCAAGTTTTGTCCTACTTCATGGTCTAAGCATTTCATTCAGCTTAACACAAGCCACTGATTCCCCCTTTGATTCACAGCCAAGAGCTTGTTCCTGAAGAGAAGGAACTCAAGTCCTTTTGGTACTATTCCTAATGCAAATAGTCCCCTAAAACTCTAAAAAATTAGTACCAATCAAGGATGTGACAAAGAAAATTTACTTTGGGTATTTGGATTGGGCCCAGCTTTCAGATAGGTAGGCACAGAAATGATGAACATTATCAAAGCTGTGGTGTTTCCTCGCACGCCCATAATCAATTCTTCAAGGCTAGCGCATGGTTCTGTGGAAGAACTGAGCATTTGCATCCCTCCAGTTGAACAAGACTTGTCAAAATCAGAGCTTTGAATAAAGCAGTCAGCTCTGGCTAATCCAATCTTCCGAACAAACTGGCACATCTCCAGGCAAACTATGGTAGAGAGATATCACTTTGTATCATGGAAACTATGAACGCCAGATTCCTTCCAGGCTACTTAGACCTGCCCCTCACCAGGCCTGGAGCTACGGAGCTACACCCGTGTAAGATACGACGATTCCTGTCAAGGATCTAGACTGCGTAATTCTGTGCAGAGCTGAGTTGTGCTGTGCAAATTCACCTCACATTACTTCCTCGATCCCAGTTTCTGTGACAAGAAAAGGTTCTATAAGAAGTCCTTAAGGACTGAAAAACTGAGCCACGTGAAGCTTCATGGTACACCTGGGTACACAACTTCTTATGGGCCAAGCGTCAAATATATAAGATGAGTACAGAAAGCAAACTTGAAGCCAGAAATAACAGCCCTTTAGCATGTTCCTAAAAACCTGGTTTCAAGAGCATAGTCTTAAGACATATATAGGAAGACTCCATGAAACTACTATCCCAAGAAGGTAAAGCTGAGAACAGTTTTCCTGGTATTCCCAAAATGAAGGGCAATGTAAGTACTTGTTACGTGTACCTGCAGTTGTTTTAAGATGTTAGACCAAGGTATGGCAGAACACACCACTACAAGCTGTCTTAGCCTGACTAAAATTGCAAATATGGATAGCTGCTCCATGTAATAGTTTTAGATATTTGGGTACTAAAAGACATACATAACAACTATTAACAAGAAAAATTCCTTTAGATATTTTGAGTGAATTAAAGTAGGGAAAAAAAACCTAACTTCCAAATATTAAAATATTCTGATTACAATCAGACCAGTTTGATTATTCCTTGATAAGGAAAAGCATCTGAATAATAAACTTAGGTGTCATCAGAGAACAATGACATCACTGAAGGATGTATACCCACTTCTACTGGAGACTCATGGGTAGGATTTTATTTTCAATAATTAAATAAATGCAACTGATTTAAAAATTGTTTTAAGAAGCTCATTACCAATAAAAGCATAGTAATAACAGCTATAAGTTCTGATTTTAGTTTGTATTCCACCAGAAAAGTACGCTTAAATCAATTAACTAATTATTCAGTAGCTGAATAAAATAAAGATGGCAAAATCTTCAAATTACCCTGCATCAGTATGACACTTCTTTTTAAAGCATTTACTATTTGCTGCAAAATTAATCTTCTTGTTTTAAAGTAAATGTGTCTAATAAGCTTAGCTTCACAGGGGGTCATATATATGAAAAAAAGTATTTTTAAGCAAGCCTCTTCTGCCCCCACAAACTCCAAAAGACTGTAAGAAGTTGGATGCTTTTTTTCCTAACGCATATTATTACACTATGTAATTCTTCATGTTCCAAGTCTTTGTCTCACTATATGATGTCAAAGGATGTTATGGGTTTGCGTGGCAAGGTTTTGGTAGCAGGGGGGCTCTAGGGGTGGCTTCTGTGAGAAGCTGCGAGAAGCTTCCCCCATGTCTGACACACCCAGTGCCAGACGGCTCCAAGAAGGACCCACCGCTGGCCAAGGCCAAGCCAATCAGCGATGGTGGTAGCGCCTCTGGGATCACATAGTTAAGCATGGGGAGAAAAAATAGCTGCAGGTAAACAGCAGTCAAGAGAGAGGAGTGAGACGATGTGAGAGAAACAACTCTGCAGACACCAAGGTCAGTGAAGAAGGAGGGGGAGGAGGTGCTCGAGGCGCCGGAGCAGAGTCTTCCCTTGCAGCTCGTGATGAAGACCATGGTGAAGCAGGTTGCACCCCTGCAGCCCATAAAGGTCCACAGTGGAGCAGATATCCACCTGTAGGCCATGGAAGGAACCCCACGCCGGACCAGGTGGGTGCCTGAAGGAGGCTGTGACCCCATGGGGAGCCCGTGCTGGAGCAGGCTCCTGCCAGGACCTGTGGACCCATGGAGAGAGGAGCCCATGCTGCAGCAGGTTTGCTGGCAGGGCTTGGGGGAGGAGGAAGAGAAACGGGAGTGAAGCTGAGCCCGGAAAGAAGGGAGGGGTTGGAGGGAGGTGTTTTAAGATCTGGATTTATTTCTCACTATCCTACTCTGATTTGATTGGTGATGAATTAAACTCCCTTTTCTCCCCAAGTTCAGTCTGTTTTGCCCATGACAATAATTGGTGAGTGATCTGTCCCTGTCCTTGTCTCGACCCTTGAGCCTTTCATCATCTTTCCTCTCCCCTGTCCAGATGAGGAGGGGGAGTGATAGAGCAGGTTTGGTGGCACCTGGCATTTATCCAGGCCAAACCAAAACAAAGGAATATTCTCAAACCCAAATGAGCACTGGGAAGTCACCAGAGCAGCCAAACTGATATTTGACTTCACTTAATATTTGTTTTAGTTCTACTCCTTCCCATAATGATTCAGCATTTTTAAAGCTAACAGAAAATTCAAGCTCATTCAATATGTACGGGAGAAACAACAACTCAACACAAACAATATTAGATTAGATTACTAATTTCCTTTTTAAATCACTTTCCAAGTCTAAGAACAGCTATCTATTTGTAAGCTTTCAATGTTATCTTCTGGACAACAGCATTATTTCCTACAACATTTTTAGTTGAAATGCTAGAAAATTTAAACTCTCATACGTAAAAGATTTTTGGGGCAAATTACAGGTGTCAAAAATTTGCATGAAATCTCCTCAGTTATTCTAGGTATTAGTTTATTACACAGAGAGGTTAGTAGTCAAAATATTAAACTTCTCCAACAACCTGAGTCTCTTAAGAAACAGCTGAGTGAAACTGATACCACTGATGACTCAAAAGTGTAACTTTATCTATAGCAAAGAAGTTCACCAAGAAAACATTTCCCTCCAAATAAGAAATTTCCCAATCTCAATATCACTGGCTAGAATAATCCTAAAAAAACAGGATTATTCTTACATAGCTCAGTATTATTCAAACATAGTTCAGATAGCTTTTTTGAAATGCAGTCATACCATCTTGAAATTTAAAGTGCTGGGGCAGTGCACCTAAGGTGCAAATATAGTATTGCACTGCCAATTATTACTTACTCTGCGCTTAAATAAATCTAGGTAATATAATTTCTCTAGTGTTAATGTAAATCTGGTTGGTTGGAAAGATTATATAAAGTAAAGTAAGACTTCATCTTAGGGAGTTAATTCTCAATTTATTGCAAATGTTTATACTTATGTCAACTTCAAGTACAGCTTCTGCTGAATTACAGAAAGATTCTCCTGACTTCTTCCATTTTAACTGAACCGTTACATTCAGTATTTTTGTTGCATTTTTGGCATTCAAATAAATAATTATTTCTTACTTATCATGCAAAACAATCATTTATTTGATTGCAATCTGAATTGCTTAAACTGAGGAAGGGTTTCTTCCAGTACTGATACGTACTTTTTGTAGTTTTTCTACTCGTATCACACAAAATTTGGCATATCATACTTAACCTTATGTATTCAAAAAGGCATTGCACTTAGTTATTTCCACTGATTAAAACAGAAAATATGTCTATACAACATATTTTTTTCTTGATCCTTTAAACTCAAGTACTGTCATCTTCAGTTTATTAGATTCACCTGAGACAACAAAGTAACTACTCTCAAGAAGACCAAAACTACAAAATCTTCATTCACACCAAACTGATCAAGAGGTCAGCTTCCTTTTGTAACAATTTCTTAAATAATCTTGCCATCATCCAAACAACATACCAGAACCATTTCTTACACTGAAGAAAGGCAATGTTTAAAAAAAGTGACACATATCACTACATTTTGATGTCAGGTCAGCAGTTTTAAGTACTAATCTCTAAACCTTTTAATACCTTGAATGATAAAATCATGATAAAACAGGTTCACAAAAGTTCTCAATACATCGCTGCAAATATTAAGCTCAAAAGCTCTGGCTGAAAATTACAGCTGTATTGGTAGTGGAAACAAGAGTTTTGCTGATAATCCATTCAGACTGCAGCAAATCAATGAATTCCACATGTGACTCCTATTTTGTTACTGGACAAACCAGATACCAAATTGCACAAAATTAAGCCCCTTCTTGAATTTTTCTTTTTAAAAAGCAGATCAAAATGCAAATTTTCAAACTCTACTAAATCTCGTGCTCCCTGGTGTATAATTCTCTTACAAGAAGATGATCAATTTCATTCTCAGTGGTGATATGTAACAGCTACAAAATTCATTACATTACAAAGAAATTAACAATTCATACATTACCTAATGCTGCTCATGCTTCCAGTTTCTGATCCAAGCTTACATCTCTCCAGCTGGCTAGCTACAATCTGACGTTCAGCCTCAAGTTCTCGAGTCAGTCTCTCAAACTGCAGTTCCTGAAAAAATAAATTAAACCATTTGTTTTGACTTCTCTTGAGATTAGGAAGGAATTTCAGTAGATGAAATTATAATTTGTGAAAAAAATGTTAGTATAGTCTCTTACAGGAAAGCCTCTTTTTTTTTCTTTTCAGACACATTCACAGTCCAAATTTTTGTGGTTACACCTACTCATTCCTTCATTCACTCTAATAATACATCGTAGAATGAGCCGGTTTATCAGGAATGCAATTTCCAAATACATTAAACAATTTAAGGCTACGTCAAAATCATTCATAGTTCATGGAGACCTCTTAGTAGCAGCATATGAATGTGTTCTTAACAAGCTGATCCAAGTATGATCACAAATGAGAACAACTTGTGTTACTTAAAAAAAGATGAAAAGTTCTGTAGATGATCATGCGGTGACAAAAGCTTTTGTACTCAAAAAGACAACCATCACAGTACACACCAGCGAAATAAACTAAATTGAAAGTGTGTTGTTATGGACTGAACACAGTTTAATTTCTGCATTTAATGATGTGCAGAAGGGAAACTCAAGTAGTTTTGGACAAAAGCCATCTTAAAAATCCTACCACTAATTGAACGTATTTCCTTTTATTCTGTCAAGGAAGCCAAACCAGTCCCACCAGATAGGATTTATCCGTAGAGCTTATAAACAGAATTCTAAAGAGTTTTTGGTTTTATACACAAGAGATAATTTTTTTAAAGTAAAAGAAAAAAAGAAAAAAGCAAGCCCAGCCAAGTAAAATCCCCACTATTCCTTGAAGAGCTACATTTTCCACATATGGCAGCAGTAGTTTTATCAAACACCAAACTGAAACAGTTTTAGGGAATTACGTTTGTTGTAAATTTGCCAAATTTCCCTTCCCAATTTCCTTTCATTTTGGTCAGTTGTGTGAAGTAATTTTCACAGGTAAATAGTAAAAGCTCTCTTGCCCCTCTTCTTTGGGTTTGTTGAAGGCTGAAGGAGAAATATTTTGAGAATCCACTTGTTAATTCATTCCCGTGTCCACACAACGCACCCATTATCTCTTTCTCCCTCTCTTCTTTCAAAAAACAACTCCCCATAATGCAGAGGTATGGGAGAGTCCCTTGAATAAATCTCCAGCAACGTCTTGCCTGGCAGAAAAACTGTACTGGAAATTACCTGGGTCATGACTTCTGCCCGCCAAGCACCACTGAAGAACTTGGTATCTGAGATAAAGAAACAAGTGGTAGGAGTAGAGAGAAGAATTAAAAAGTCTTCATCCTGTCTGCTACCTAAAACCTCTGACCAAGACGCCAAGGGTAAATGGAGGCACCAAACTTTTCAAATCTCTGAAATGAAGCAAGCCTTAAACTGAAATGGAAGAAGGCTGGTGGTGGTTCTACCTAATCCAGCTGGATCATCCCTCTTTCCTTCTCTGTTAATTGGCATGGAATAACTTCTGTCCTGCACTACAAATAAGGGGGGAAATACACGGAGGTTATGTACAGCACGAAATAGCCGGCGTATACTTAAATGGCCACAGACTATTTGACGAAGTCTACTTAATTCTGTATGCATTACTCCAAGTAAGACTATCCAGAGTACAAGAATATCATCAAGAGTCAGACTGATGTAAAGAGCAAAACGTCGCTGCTCACTGAATGTTAATAGTGCATTAGTAATCATAGTTAATTATATTCTCTGCACTTCTTTGTAGTACTCGGAAATGTCTTTTTCATTGTAGATAGGACTATTAAAAATCACCTAAATAAGAATCACCTATTTCAGTTACGCCTACTTCACAGAGAGCATTCCTCTCTCATCTAGTAGAATCAACTGTCTGAAAAGCCAAAGAGACTGTTGATCAACTTTGCAAGAGTTATTGTTCAAATCCTAGCCTTGTTTGTATAAAATAATACCCCTACTGCAGAAAGGACTGTAAGAGAAGTATTACTAAAGTTTTGAAGAATGTAAAATCAAAGTGATTTAGTAGTTGCTAAGCTAGGATGCTTACATCAAAGCATGTAAGCACTGAGAAATTCTGATGGTATTTTATACAAAATCAAACCAAGTATCGAGTTTACTTTCAAAATAAAAGCAAAAGCTTTAGCAGCTATTCTGTTCCACTGCATTTTTGAAGTTATTTGATTCTATGATGACAATGATATCAATGCACATTTTGACACTCAGCACACATTTTCACCCAGCCACCTTCCCTTCCCGCCATCCCAGGTGAGGCAGGGCAGACACGTTCTTTGCCACGGTCCGGTGGAGGGTACTTTTTTTACCTGCCTAGTGAGAAGATGTAGCTGTCCTCATAACATTACTGAGAGAACGTAAGAATCAGGGACCCAGGAGCTAACGCTCCCGACTGTCCTTGCTGTCATTTGCCTTCTCCCAGGCAGACAAGCGTAACTCACTGTGTCCTTCTACTCTAGGTGTGCAAACAACTCTTCAGCTCCCTTTTGTCCATGCTATCCCAAGTCAACTAATATGGAAAAGCCCCCAAACCTATTTTACTGAAATACTTTAAAATAAAAGATTATTTTCCCTTTTTCTTTTCTTCTGCTATCTGGATTGTATATTTTCCCATATATTTTCTATACTTCCTATTCCTTCAGATAATCACTCTGGCTGACTACTTTCCAGACACTTCTGCGTTTTCCCAACTAACACCCTTACGTCATCATTACTTTGTCTACAGAACATTCTTTGCTCATAATTCTTGTCTCCAAAATACACTTTTCTCCTCTTCACTCTGTCATTTATCTTTCTTTCCTACTTACTCCTTTCTGTTCTCTTCTGCATTCCGTCTTTCTTTCACTTCCCAGCATACTTCATGACTCACCCTCCCCTGATCTCTTTCAGCCCTACTTTACAAATTGCTGCTCTAGTAAATGCCGTAAAATGATCAGTTTAAGCAGTCTCTCTCTCTCGATAATTGCTCCCTTTTTGAGGGAACTCTGATCTTCAGATGTAGGAACCCATGTTTTCTGGTTTCACTGCCCACATTGTGTAAGTCCTGCCCTGCAGAGATGACTGGAAAAGGACAGTTACGCGTACGTTCCTCCTCAAGCCAGAAGCAGAGATGTGCTGGATCACATAAAAAAATAACCTTGGGTTTGTAATGCATGAAAATGGCTAGAACAGGTGAACAGTAACTTCATTACTACCTTGATTTAATTGCTGCTATTTCTCACTTAATTGTCTTCTGTCAGGTGCCATCTGAAGTTAGGGATGGAAGGAAGGAGATGAAAGGTAGAGGGAGTGGGATATGTGATGGGGCAGAGCCAAGCAATTATTACCTCAGAATTATTCTCTACATTAAATTTAACAAACAACTGTGTTAGGTATTCCCTCACGTGAAGACAAAGGTGCAGGTCCACAGTGTTGCCTTTGGAATGAAAGAAAAAAAGAAACCAAGTAAGAGTCGGAAGTCTGCTATCCCTCTGTGTCAAGAATCCCAGGCAGAAAACAAATTAATAAGCTTCCTTCTCTCTGTTCGGTAAGCAATGAGAGTGACTAATATTTGAATGAATCTGTATGTTTAGATTTCAGGCAGCTGTCGCAGTGCAAGAAGACAGAAGCTAGAAATAGTATTTGCTTACATTTTACAAAAATAACCACTGAACCTGACTCTGTCATTTATCTTCTGTTTACAATCAATTTCACCAGTTCATGCCATGTTGTGTTATCTTCACAACCTTCTATTATTTATAGGAATCAAGCTAATCGGAACATCAAAATTAAAAACAAATTCCTACCCACTGATTATGCAAATCTGTTGTCAAGACAATTGCAGAATGAAGAACTGTAGAAACTGCATTGCAGTATTAAAATTAATTTCAGTAACGCCACGTCAAGCGCAGCTTCATGGACTGTGCTACAAAGGGCGATGTTGCCAAAGCAAGCGCCCGTGCAAAGGCACTGCAAAGCTGAAATGACCAGTCTGGCAGCGCTCAGCACTTAGCGTCACAAAGGGTGCAGGAGTGGGAAGCCAACAGGAAGATCAGAGATAACGATGAGCGTAATCCAGAGGAACCACTCAAGAGAGCAGCTTGGAAAGGGAGGAACTTCATGATAACTTTATCAAATTGTTCCGAAGTGATAAAAAGAGTATGTAACTGCTAGGGCCTGAAGCAATTTATGTTTAAAAAGTGGTATTTGTCCACTACCATGAGTTTTTTTGTAAAAATATTTATTATTCCATAGATGGCAATTGGACATATTTGCCTTTTCAGTAGGGGATTTATATTTTATCTACCCTCTGCAGACACCAAAACTTCAAACACTAAATAAGACTTGAGTAAGTTCATACGTTTCACAGTGGTCCAGAAACTGAATAAGCCTGATGGAAATCTTCACATCCTTTGGACAGGTTACGAACTCCTGAGCTCAGGGCACACTAAGTAAGAGGGTATTTGGTTATTTTTAAGCTTTGTATCTGCTGGGTGGTCTGTGCTGATCCATTTGAATGTTGGGAAGGGAAAAACAGGTCGAAAGCAACTTGGCTGATATTCAGAGCTGATCTCACTTTACTCTGTCCCTTGCAATCTTAAAGCAATCCTTCAATCCTTTCACAGAGATGTGTATTGATGCTGAGCAAAAGACACAGCAAATTCAGTAGACACTGTAAAAAGCATCTGATACAAAAAAAAAAAAAAGTATCTAAATTTAGGCTAAACAGCCTTGCGGATTTATTGAATTCCCAAGAATCTTAAGGTCATAACATTAAAAGAGGAAAAACGTTTAGCTTTTGACTGTAAATACGAGATACAAAAACAAACTGGTGCACCGATGATCATTGGAATCTTCAAATACAGACAAATAATGACATTGAGGTAAGGCTGGGAATCCCTGGTGAGATGAATAGAGAAAGCCTGATTACAGCTACACAAACAAACAAATCGTTCGCCTGGATTACAGTACCTTAGAAACCACAGAATGTCCTAGAGCACATAGGCTGTAGAAATGTGTAACACTGGCTCTACCTCATTGCAACCTATTAAACAAGAAAAACTGTCCCTC